CCCCCCCCCCCCCCCCCCACACATCTTGCCTTCAATTAAAATGGTTTGTTGATCTCACCAATTTTTTTTTTTTTGCTTCACCGTTTTTTTTTACAGTTACTTTTATCATTACTTCAGGCCCTGATGAAGTTGATACTTATTTACTACGTAAGTTGCACACACTTAATTTAGTTTATTAGTTGGTTTTAAATAAATTATATTATGTGGACTTAAAATTTTAATGCGGAATGAGGATACAGTTTGTAAAGGGTCCGTACATTACATAAACGACTTAAAGCGTTTGAAAAGATGTGTTTTCAGGTCGATAGAATTCTGTTTAAATTTAAACTGTGTATAAATTATAATTAGTGTTTAAATTTTTTATTAGAAGTTTAAAAATCTGCCTAAATAGCATGTATCATTATGAGGTGCCCGAAAGTAAAAAAATAAATTTGTTGATAACACATCAAAATTTTATAAGCTAAATAAATATTTTTATCACATTTAAAACATTGACGAAACAGAAATGTTTGGAATAAACAAATTATCGAAAAAACAATTTTGATTCTGACTTTCTAATTTTTGTTTTCGGTAAATAGCGCAACTTTAAAATTTTGATTTTTAAATTATCGAGACCTAGCAACAGTAAACAAGATGGCGAAGATCGTAATAGCAGGTTTGTATAAACAGTGATTACAGCACAATATAATAATTGTGTTGTACTGAATAAATAGAGGTATACGAATTACAAAGAAAGACAAAAAGTGCCCTATATTAATTTTATGATTATTGTAGCAATGTAGGGGTGTCCATTAATTATTAACACTTTTTCCGAGTCAGTCAACAGCTGACTCTGAGTCTGAGTCTAGTCTAGTAAGTCAACCGTTAAAGTTAAACTAACTTAAGCTTTCAAGAACCATCTCCTGGCATCCCCCCACCCCCCACCCCAAAAATGTTTTTATATTATAAATACGGATCTTTTTGAACGCTTAAGATATAGAAAATTATGGGGGGGGGGGGGATATGTTTAGACTATTACTAGTATTACATTTTATTTTATAAAAAAACAAATTCTTAAACACAAGAACCATCTCCTGGCATCCCCCCACCCCCCACCCCAAAAATGTTTTTATATTATAAATACGGATCTTTTTGAACGCTTAAGATATAGAAAATTATGGGGGGGGGGGGATATGTTTAGACTATTACTAGTATTACATTTTATTTTATAAAAAAACAAATTCTTAAACAAATTTTACATTTGTAACAATATTAACGGTTAATAGACAGCCCCCTAGTTGTTTTTTCCCCCATGCATTAGCAAATATCTGTACTATTTTTACTTAAAAAATGTAGATTCAATTTTGATTTTATGGAGCAATATTCAAATATCCTAAGTAAATCAATAATAATGAGTATGGTAATTATTTATACAAACATGTTAAAAATATGTCAAATAATGTTATAATTATATTAATAACTAATGGAAAAATATGATTTAGGCTAGGTTTAAGTTCAATGAAAAAAATGCATTTTTTACAAATATTTTGTTTCATCCTCAAATTAGGGCGATCTGACTGCCCCTATTTTGCAAGAATAGAGTTGCTTGCAGACCGCCTAGCTAAAAATCTAAAAAAATTTAAACTTCATAAGATTATGGTTCAGCCTAATGAGTGGGAAGTGAGTATGCTTCAAAATAAATACTTGTAAACTAGTATCACTTAGTTGCAATGTGTGTGTCTCCTTGTCAATGATTACTCTGTTTGTAGAATTTGAAACTTTTTTAAGAAATAAAAAATTGCTCTTTAATTAAAAGAATGGTTAATTTACAAGCCGTAATACATAAAGGGCTAACCAAAGATGATGTGAAAAGGGCATCACATAAGGCCACACATTTTTCAACCCCATTTTGTTAGTATTACATTACACTGAATGTGAGTTGTTTGTTTTAAGAGAAATCTTGAGCATATTTCACCAAGAACCACCAAATCTGCATTATTTGGTAAATGAGTCTTCTCAAGGCAATTTTGTATTGTCAGCCCTGGACTAATCTGTACTCTCTACCTCTTTGTTGTGAGGCAGGTATTTTTACAATTACGTAATGGACATGTGATTTTACTAAATATTTTCAATATGAAAGCCTTTAAAATATATTGCAGGAATGGTTAAAAAATACTTGCGCAGAGAAAGGTTGGGAATTTTCTTCATCCCCCATGGTCTGGCGTGAACTAATTGACAGGGGTGGAAAGGGTGTCCTCATTGGTGGAGCTAATGAATTTCAAGAATACATTAAAGCGTACTATGACTTGGAATCTGAAATGAACAGCTATGAGATGACGATGGTTGGTGCTGAAAACAGACATACAAAAGATGAGCTGGATGCAGAGGAAAAACTTTACAAATCTTTGAGCCGCCCAGTGAATGTTTGCATTACAAATGCCATACACCCAGTTTGTTACCATCTCTTACACAATATCAGTTCTGGTAATACACTTGGCCCAAAAGTTGAGCTGAGGATACATCTTTTAGTCTCTCTTGAAGAAGACATAGATGCTGTCAAAGGTATTGCAATGGAAGCAGAAGATCTAGCCCACAGCCTTTTGAGAAATGTTAAAGTTTTTACTGATCCAAATGATGCCTTTGAAAACTGCAACATAATTATCTTTCTTGATGAGTTGCTGAGACAAGAGGATGAATATCATCAAGACTGGCTTATTAGAAATGAGCAAATGTTCAGTTATTATGGCTCTGTAATAAATGATAAAGCATCCAAAAATTGTAAGGTAAGCTATTTAATTTTCTTCTTAGATAATCAAATAAATGGGAATTTAAAATAAAAATTAAGCTATTTCACTTGAACAGGATTTGAGTGCAGGCATGTCTGGCAATATAACCCCCTTTATTCCAAGGGGCAGCCATAATTTAAAATTGTAAGTTGAAGAACTAATGAAGTTGAAATATGAGTGCAAAATTGATGTAACAATTAATTCTATTTTGCTCACACATATATCAGTGTTCATTTTTCTTTTCATTTTATAAAGCAGTTAAAAACATTTTCTTGTAGTGTCACTGCAGGTACTATAGTTAAACATTAAATGAAGTATGTTAAATCTTGTTTTACCATATTAATTTCAAAACTTAAAAGGACATAAACACTAATATTTATTATAATTTTGGTCAAAGCTTGGAAACCTATACCCCAGAATTGTATTCATTTCATACGCTGCTAATATTTAAAAATTTCTCCCCTGTTTAGGTCTTGGTCTGTGGGAATGGCCCGGTAAACTTCAATGCAACAATGATTGTTCGAAGTGCTCCAAATATTGCCCGTCAAAATGTTGTTGCAGTTGCAACAGTCATTGAAAACCAGGCAAAGTCAATCATTGGAGAAAAACTTTCAGTGAATCCAGCTGGTGAGATTTGTTGTCATATGATTAATTTAATAAATTATAATTTTGCAACATTTCAATTGCAGGATTTCATTTTATTTTTAAAAAAAATAGCTTCTTATTACATAAGAAAAGGAATTTATAAAATTGTTTGATTCCTTAAAAATATTTTAAAAATTTAAGCTAATGAAATTCAGGTCACTTTATTAAAGTACGTACCAGAGGTTAAATTTAAACAATTGATATCACCAAATTTATCTCTAAATTGTTTCTATGGTCAACTCTGTATTTTCATAACTCTGTTGCATACTTTTTTCCCCCAGGCTTTCCCTTAAATTTTTTCCAATTTTTCTTATAATCATCCTTCATCATCCAGCTCTGCTTCCTTCAACAAGTTTTGGTCCCCAAGGGGCATGGTTTATCAAAGCTCTTTCAATATTTATATTTTTGCCAAATAGGTGTGGTCAGTTTATTAGTTTGGGGTAACATCAACGGAAAACGCTATTTTGATGTAAGCAAGTGTCGCATTCATGGATATGATGGAGCTATTAAAGGTCCTTATTGGTTGGTATTACTTAATTATTTAATGAATAATGTGTGGGATATATAAAAGATAATTTTAAGATTTCTGATTTTTTAATGGCATCTGAAATTTCATTTTGCAGATGAAAATGGACTTTAAAAAATTTATTTTAACGAGGGAATTGATGCTGATTTTTGCTCAAAATCAAAATGAAATAGTTAATTTCTACATTTAAGAAATGCAATGAAACCATTTTAAAACAAAAGAAGTTCATGTTTTGAAATCACTTTACAACATCCACGACAAGAGTAACATTAGCCTTTTAATTTTAATTATAAACATAGCATCCTTATATTTTGCAGGTATACTGTGAGTGCTATGGAAATGCTTCATGACAACAAATGGGTGGTTTCAGAACTTCCAGGCTTAGTTGCATCCAGACATATCAAGGTGAATACCACATGACACTTACCTTTGTTCTCTCCCTTTATTCATTTATTATCAGAATTACCTCCCTTTAGCTTTTGCTCTGTTTTGAAATGAGTTTGAGAAGGTATCAAATGTGTTACATAAAAAAGAAATAAGCTTCTTAGGGACATTAAAAGACACAAAGGATATGTGTAGACAGGTATTGTAAAGCTTATTTGGTGGAATTCAAGCATGAATGTTGAGATAATTTTTTATTTTATGCCGTATATTAAGCTATCATACAATTGTGCTTTTTAAATAAATGTGTTCCAGGTCGCTCGCGTCATGGGGAGAAGTACAAGTCTGAGTACAGCCAACTCTATAGCTACATTATTGCAGCACTGGTACAGAGGCTCCCCTCATGGCGAGCTCTTTTCACTCGGTGTCTACTCTGAAGGTAACTAACTTAAATATTTGCATGTTTGAATACAATATATTTATTTTAAATGAGGGTTAAATTTCACCTTTAACTGGCAGTCAAAATTCAGAAAATTAAATTCGAATGTTGGATTGATACATGCACATGTTTCTTCTCCTTGAGATCCCATTGTTTGTTCAACTTTTTATGCTATTTTTTCTAAAAATGGCAATTGATAATTTTGAATTTTTATGTCTGAATGAATTCAGGATAAAATCATATTCACTAACCATGGTTTTCACCCTTTATATAAACTAACACGTTTTAAAATTGTGTAAACATTGTTTTTGCAAACCAGAAAAATGCCATTGAATGTTTTACAAATATACTTAGTTTATACACCATTTAGCTAAGCCAATGATGTGTATGCCATAAAAGAACTCTCACCACCTGGATCTGCTATATGTGTTACATCTCTCTCAATGTCTATCCTCTCCATTCCCTCAAAACTATGTTTTTGTTGCCATTTTAGCACTTATATAAGTTAAACACAGCAAAATGGCTATGAATGTTATGTGAAGATAATTTAGAACACTAGACAAACTATTTTTTATAAACAAGTTTTAAATGTGACTTCAGATGTAGCAATATGCGGTTTCAAAATTCTAAATTGATTTATTAACTTGATAATTTATTTTAACGGTGAATTTAAAAATTAACTGCATAATTTAATATTTAACATTAAAAAGAACATTTATTGAGATTTTAGAATAATTTTGTATAACCCCCTTTTTTTTTTCCATTCACAGGTTGGTATGGAGTTCCACCAGACATATTTTTTTCCTTCCCAGTCACTATGGACCCTAAAGGGTATTGGCATGTTGTTCAAGACATTTTTTTGACATCTGAAACAAAAAATGGCTTAAAGAATGCAATAGAGGTAAATGTGGTATATTAATATAACTTAAATTTAGAAAGTGAGATTCAGGAATGAGAATCCTACAGACTGCATTGTTCGGCTTCAAATTATGCATCACGAGTTTGATATCTTTGGTAAAATCTTAACAGCACAATTTTCCCTTTAAATTAAATTACTATTGCAATNTATATATATATATATATATATGAATAAATATATATATATATAAATAAATTTATACATGGGATAAAATTAAAAGTAAAATCAGGGCACCTCTAAAATGAAATCAAATGGGCTACTGACATCAGATAAGTAATATTATTTATCTAGAAACTTATAGTTTGATTGCTACATAATTAACTTTGAAAATAATTTAAAATATCCATAAGCTATTCTATAAATGTTACAATATGTGTGTACAGATAGAAAACAGCTTAATCAAATTATCCATTTAGTGGTTTGAAATATCATGATGACGATGAATGAGTACTTTTATAGCACTTGTGTCTATGCTATTTTAGCATGCTCACAGCACTTTAATGTCCTAAAATCTATTTAAAGTAAAAGGTGAAATGTATTTAAATGGTTCTTATAGGTCATTTGATCTTTCTAATTAATGACTATTTTTCCATTCCTCCAGGATCTTGTGTACGAGATTGGGCTTTTAACAGAAGAATTTTCAACATCTAAAGGCAAATTTCACTAACTCTACATATCTTATTAGTTTTATTATACCATACATTATAACATTTAGATATATCATCAGCTATACTTTAGAGACATGTATTGAACCGACAAAACCTTTGTAGAATGTATCCAGCTTTACAAAGATAAATGATCGTATTAGTCTAGTCCAGTCCTTTCTAATACAAGTGTACATCCTAAGGTTTGCAGTGTCAATCTACATGAATGAGGACAGAATAAAAATAACTATACTAAGCCATTGTGTTTTATTTTATTGTTAATTTTCATATTTTATGGATTTTATTTTTTCTCTGAAATTAATTGCATGTAAATTTGAGCAACATTTAGTATTTGAATTTGCATTTTCTTTCCAGTCTTGTCTTGTACTTTCTTCCCAACAAAAGTTATTTTGGTTTGATTTTTACATTTATGTCAAAAAATTTTTTAAACAAACAAAAAATTAAATAACTGGTTGAAGAATATATTTTAAAATTGCCATTAAATATTTCAAATAAACATTTTAAAAAAATTGATTTCTATTATTTAATCAATTTTTTAGAATTGATTTGATTAATAGCTAGTCCTACAATATGTTCAAAAGTATCTTTATTTATATTTTATTTCATGCATTTAATATGTTTTATCTTTTTTTAGTCATTGTATTTTTTTTTTAATCTGTTGTCATTTTTTTTTTTTCTGCAGAGGAGGAAGCTAAAAGTGAACGAAGTGAAGAGCCAGAAAATAAATCTGGGAGATCAACGGTGCAAGGGCAAAAGGGTGAAAGTAAAACTGACCCCAAAAATCTGGAAATTTCCACTGATCTCAATGAAGATCTAGAAACTCATGCATCTCCTGACATAACTGCAGATGTTACTGCACCAACAGATGTAATGAAAGCTGAGCATCTTGATGCGGCACCACATAGCCCTGTTGAAGAAGTTGAAAACAATAAAGAGAAGGGATTGGCTTCACATTGAAACCAGGGAACAATTTATTATTTTTGAATAGGGGAGGTGGGGGAGAAACTATTTGTTAATCTTATTTCCCATTTTAAAAAAATAAATACTGAAATCAAAACAGAAAGGAAGTGATCTACGCTGTTAAATCTGGTAGCACTGTTGACAAAAAAATTCAAAGGTTGCATTAGGATTTTTAACTGGAGATTATAACTTTAAAGTACCTGAGCATTGATACCACTCAGTTATTTCACTAAAAGTGTTTCTCTCATAAATATCATTACTTCATAAGTTGATCAGATTAAATAAAGAAACAACATGAATATAAGCTTATATAACCTTGTCTTGCTCACAGAAGATTCATGTTCATTTCAAAGAAACTTGACTACATTTAATTAAGAGAGCTATGTCATAAATTTGATATAATTATGTCATAACTTTGAGATAATTATGTCAAAAATTTGAGATAATTCTGCCATTACTTTAAGATAAATATGTCTTAATTGTGAGATAACTGTGTCATAATTTTGAGGTTTAAAATGTTACCGGTACTTTATAATCTTTGTTTTATTGCCACATTATTTAAACGTCATTTTATAAAAAGATCTGAGGACATAATTGAATTGTACTGATGGAGTCTTGAGATTTCAGAACTCTTCTTACAATTTGTTTTTATTGTTGTATTATTATTATTGTTTTGGTTAGTTATAAATAAAATTCAAAACCGTGCTTTGTTTTTCTCACCATGTAAATCAATCTATACGATTTTTTAAATCGTTTTTTGGTTGACATGAGTGCGAAACTGTTTTGTAACTGATAAATATATGAATTAATGAATTTATAACATAAACTTAAAGTAATATCAATAGTTTGAAATATCTATAGTTATAATTTCTAAGGTGAATACAATGGCTGCTAGGGTTTAAGTTTCTGAAATGACTGTACTGTGTGCAAAATAGATGTGATGTCTTGTGTGGCTGTTTGTGTTACATCCAGATTCATTGAATAAATTAAATCTGTTATTTAAGACCAAATAAAATGTGTTACTTATGTAGCTCTGTTTGTTTGACTGCCAGAACTTGTTTGCTTTGTAACAACATTATAAGCATTATTTCTATGCTTAAAGTGATCAATTATCAAGGCCTAAAGACAGTGGTTAAGTACTTTATCAATTGTTAAATTAGTCTGCATTGAAAATTTAATTAACACCTCCATGTAAGTTGCGCGTCATGCAAGTGGCTTGTTATAGATTAAGTATCAGCCAATTAATACGGTCTTTATTCCAGCCTATAACTACCTGTGTCAGACCTGGGGTCTGAACAGAAGTCTAGAGAGATATCTCCTCTATGCTCAACAACACTGAGTGTTCGCGACAGTCCATACAGACGGGCTATACTCGATTACGCTGAGTATTTGCCACAGTCACTATGGATGGGTAATACTCAAGTACCCTGAGTATTCACCCCAAACAATATGGATAGATAATACTCGACTTCCGTTGGTATTCACCCCAGTCAATTTGGATGGGTAATACTCAACTACCCTGAGTATTAGCCTCACTCAATGCGGATAGGTAATACTCGACTACTCTGAATATTCCCCCAGTCAACACGGATAGGTAATACTCGACTACTCTGAATATTCCCCCGTCAATACGGATAGGTAGTACTCGACTACCCTGAGTATTGGCACACTCAACACGGATAGGTAATACTCGACTACCCTGAGTATTGGCACACTCAACACGGATAGGCTACTCTGGAAAGAAAAAGGTTGACAACGATGCACACGAATTAAGCGCTGGATCGAAAAGCCGAACATTTGAGTCTGGCAGCCGAGCATTGAGTCTGGCAGCCGAACATTGAGTCTCTCAGCCGAGCATTGAGTCTGGCAGCCGAGCATTGAGTCTGGCAGCCGAGCATTGAGTCTGGCAGCCGAGCATTGAGTCTGGCAGCCGAGCATTGAGTCTGGCAGCCGAACATTGAGTCTCTCAGCCGAGCATTGAGTCTGGCAGCCGAGCATTGAGTCTCTCAGCCGAGCATTGAGTCTGGCAGCCGAGCATTGAGTCTGGCAGCCGAGCATTGAGTCTGGCAGCCGAGCATTGAGTCTGGCAGAGAAAAGAAATGAACAAAGTGTCAGTAGGACGAAGCCCCCCCCCCCAGGCGGCGATTGGTCAACACTTATGGGGCAACTTTTTATAAGAAGCCGGTTTGAAACAGAATCACAAGAGGCAGTTGCCAGATTGTACCGGAGGTAAAGGAGGTAACGGTCGGGGTCAGCTAAAAATATAGAAACCCTCGTACTTAAATGTCTCATGCTTATTTGTATTCCATAATCCTTTTTTTTTTTTTTTAATATTTATCCGTAGGTCTACCATCAGGTTTGTTAGTATTTCTTCGCCTCCTATGTCGTATGTTCCTTGGTAAGATCGTTTCTTGCTCTTAAAAGCGCATTTAGAACATAAAAAAAGCGCAGAGCGATTCAGATAGGTTTAGTCATCTGTATCCAGTGGCGTAGGATGGGGTGGGGCTGTCCTCCGCGGGCTGCACTTTTTGGCTTATAGTGAAGGGTGGCATTTTCGACTAACTTTAGAGTTTTTTGTTTTTTTTGGGGGGGGGGGGGGGTGGGGGGTGGTTTGTTTTTTTTTTTTTTTTTTTTTTTTTTTTTTTTTTGGGGGGGGGGGTTGTTTTGATTGTTAGTTTTTTTTGTTGTTGTTGTTCTTTTTGGTAAAATACTAAGGGGTAAGGCAAAATTGTATGCCCACGCCGGGCGACACTAACCCTAGTTACGCCCCTGCTTGTAAGTTATCCGAATGTGGAAACTAATAGTTTTATCTACAAACTGCCATCAACAAATAGGTTTCAATAGTTTGGATTCAATAGTGCGTTAGCAAACAACTCCTCTAAACAGAAAGATGTTAGTTACACATTCTGTTAATTGTGTTAGAAAATAACCCGACTCAAGAGAAATATCTTATTTACACATTCTGTTAACTATTTTAGAAAATAATCCGGCTTAAAGAGAAATATGTTATTTATTCTGTTAATGGTGCCGCTGCCTTCAAAGTAGCTAATGAAACACATGGCCGTCTATCCCTGACGTGAACAGAGATCATGGTCAATTTTTTTGTTTTCAACTTCTCCTCACACACCCTGATGCCTGCCTCCAAGCAGGACTAGGTTTAAAAATCTATTGATGTAAGCTTCATTGTTAAAAGAATCTGTCATATAGGCCTATATATATATATATATATATATATATATATATATATATATATATATATATATATATATATTTATATATGTTTTTGTTAAAAAAAACTATCATATATATATATATATATATATATATATATATATATATATATATATATATATATATATATATCTACATACATGAGTACTAGGAAAGAGGTCGGTTAGGAGATCCACAATACCAGAAAATGGGGGCTTCCCGAAAAATATGTTGATGAGGAGGCTTTCAAATAGTTCAATTAACATTATTATAATGAAATACAGCCAGCTCCATGGGACACCAAGGGGCTAGCGATGCCCTCAGTACAGCTCCTAATTATAGCCTATAGCTTGCCATTTCACTTTTGGGTCTTTTATCGCTTAGGCAAAGATTTAGAAAGGAAAAAAAAACACAGATTGCGAAATAAGATATTAAAATCTTCACTTCATTTTCAAGCCCATTTCGTAACAAAGAACAATAGAGGGTACTAAGCGTAGCCTAAATTTTTAAATCTATTTAAAAAAAAGAAACAATATAAGTTAGCCTACTTACTAAAATTAAAACTTTTAATCTATTAAAAATTTTAAAAAATTGTCATATTAATCAATAAAACCATTTTCTTATATTATAAGGGTAAAAATATATCAGCTGGTATTTTATTCTTTAAAAATCTGCAGTAATTGCAACATTTGCACACACACAAAAATACACACATTTTTGAATTAATAATAATAATAATAATAAGTGGTCTTATATAGCGCGGTACCCCGGCCTAGGGCTGGGCTCACCGCGCTGTACATATATAGCAAAGAGGCATAATCATAATATTAAAATAAAATACATCAATGAAATAAAAACAACATATAAGCAAAACAACACCATAGGTATATTCATCCACCCACACCAGACATTTTTACAAGGAAACCCATGTACGTTTATCGGTTTATAGGAGGAGAATCAGTCAGAGTAGTATAGTTTAAATAGATGTGTTTTGAGTGCAGTTTTGAAGGCCTGTGTGGTTGTTATATTGCGGATGTGTAGTGGCAAAGAATTCCATTGTTTGGGGGCGCAGAA